GGATAATAAATTGCCATTCAAGTGCCTACAGGTAATGGACAATACTCCTACTCATCCTCCAGACTTGGATGACCAATTGTTGGAGGAGTTTAGTTTCATTGCAGTGAAGTTCTTTGCCTCTAATACCATTCCTCTCATCCAGCCCATGGACCAGCAGGTCATTTCAAACTTCAAAAAACTCTACACCCAAACAATGTTTCAAAGGTTCTTTGACATGACTTCAGACATTGAATTGACCCTAAGAGAGTTCTGGAAGGATCACTTCCAGTCATGGTATTGTGCCTTTTTTTTGTTATTCACTATCCTCAATTGCATAATCCTTATAGATAAGGGGTTGGCAGGGGAAGTGACTTCCCAGGCGATGAACTCTGCTTGGGGGAAAATTTGTGGCCAAATGTGTCCAAGAGAAGGATTTTGAGGGTGTGGGGGCTGACCTGTCGACCCCACGCCTGTTGTGGAATTTTTTTGGGCATTTGGGGGAAATTTATGAGGTTGGGTTGAGTGGTCAGGGTGTGGAAAAAGTTGGTGGAAGAACCACCGTGAAGAGCTAACCCCTGAAGAGCTGTAAGAGCTTTATCTGCAAAGCAACGACCAAACCCGAGGAAATTGTTCCCAGGAGGAGGAAGAGAGAGGGGAAAAAGGCGCCCTTTTTCAAAGATTAAAAAGTTTGGCAAAAATGGAGTGATTTGCAATCATTTGTGGAGGAACTAACCCTAATAAAAACTTGTAGGCCTGTCTAAAACAGTTTAATGACAAAAGCCTTGTCCCATTTTAGGCAAAAAAACTTAGAGCACCAGAAACAGAGCTCTCTGGAATAATTTTTTAGGTGCAGGGGTCCAGTGTTTCAAACTGGTCCTGTGCCATTAAAACCCCTTTTACTGTCGCGGTCGTATTCACTCATAGGGTACGTGTTTGGATCTATACGCATAAATTTTTTGCGGCTTCAAAACAAGCAGGAGAAAAGCGGTAGGCCCACATGTTAGAGAATGGGTCTCCATGGTCGTTGCACCCCATAAAAAAAATCGGGGGGCCAGTGGTGAAATTTTGGGGAAAACCCTTTCAGTCGTCCTTTTTCGCTGTCTGCGGTAAGAAATATGTGATCCAAACAAATCGGGGGTCTTTTTCCCAAGTGATGCTCTAACACAGTGGAAGTATCATTGAAGATCAATTTTAGTTTCGGGAGTTTTAGACCAAAAGCAATGGAGGGGAGGGGGAGGAGGAAGAAGAGGAGGGGGAAAAGAGGAAGGAGGGAGGAGAATGGAGGAAGAGAAGGAGGGAGGAGAAGAAGGAAATGGAGAAGGAAGAAGGGAGAAGGAAGGAGGAGAAGGGAGGAGAGGAGAAGGGAGGAGGGAGAAGAGAAGGAGGGGAGGAGAGGAGAAGGGGAAAGAAGGAAGAGAGAGGGAAGGGAGGAATGAAGGAGGGGAAGAAGTGAGAAGAAGGTGGAAGGGAAGGTGAAGTAAGGAGGAAGAGAAAAGGAGGAGGAAGGAGGAGGAAGAAGGGGGAAGAAGGGAGGAGAGAGAGAAGGAGGGGGAAAGAAGGAGAAGGAAGAAGAAGAAGGGAGGAGAATGAGGAGGAGGGAGGAGGAAGGAAGGAGGGAGGAGGAGGAGAAGAGGAGAGTGGAAAGGAGAAGGGGAGGAGAAGGAGGAAGGAGAGGAAGGAGGAAGAAGAGGAGAAAGAGGGAGGAGGGAGGGGGGAAAGGGAGGAGAGGGGGAAAAGGAGGAGGGGGGAGAAGAAGAAGAAGAAGGAGGAAAAAGAAGAGGGAGAAGAAGGAGAAGAAGAAGGAAAAGGAGGAGAAGAGAAGAAGGGGGAAAAGGAGAAAGGAGAAGAAGAAGGAGAAAGGAGAAGGAGAAGGAGGGGGGAGGAGAAGAGAGGAGGAGAGGAGAGGAAAGGAAGAAGGAGGAGGAGGAGAAGAGGAGAAGAAGGAGGAGGAGAAGGAGAAGAAGGAGGAGGAAAAGGGGAAGAAGAGGGAAAAGAAGGAAGGAGGAGGAGGAAGGAGAAGAGGAGGAGAGAGAAGGAGGAAGGAGGAGGAGGAAGAAGAGAGGAGAAGAGAAGAAGGAAGAAGGAGAAGAGAAGGAGAAAAAAGAAAGGAGGAGGAGGAGAAGGAGGAGGAGGAGAAGGAAGGAGGGAGAAGGGAGAAGGAAGGAGAAGGAGAAGGGAGGAAGAAGGAGGAGAGGAAAAGGGAGAAGAAGGAGGAGGAGAAGGAGAAGAAGGAGGAGAGAAGAGAGAAGGAGAAGAAGGAGAAGAGGGAGGAGGAGGAGAAGGAGAAAAAGAAGGAGGAGAAGGAGAAGGAGGAGGAGAAGAAAGAAGGAAGGAGGAGAAGGAGAAGAAGGAGAAGGAGGAGGAGAAGGAGAAGAAGGAGGATGAGAAGGAGAAGGAAGAGGAGGAGGAGGAGGAGAAGACGACGACGAACAAACATTTGTCTGTCTGTCTATTTGTCTGTCTGCCAAGCTCCCTGTCTATCCGTCTAGCTCTGTCTCAGAGAGCCACAAGACTGTGTCATCATCACGTTTACTCACATCTGGGTTATCCTAGGTAATTTAAGCTATGTATACTTGTATTTATGTGTACCTGTGAGACAGAGATGGACAGACAGAGAGAAAGAGAGAGACAGATTGAAAGAGATAGAATGAGGGAGAAAGATAATTAGATAGAATGGAGGGGAAGCAGCATCCGACCCCATTGTTTTGACAGGTGGGAGGGGGAGTGAGTAATGAGACAATATGTCATTTTGACAGCTGTGGACTCCTGACTCAAAACAATTATAAGCCACACACTGGCACCCAAGACAAGCTTGCTGAATTGTGATAATAGCAGTTTTATGAAAGTATCTAGTGACTATATATGTGTATATATTTTTATAGAAACCAGAAGCAAAAAGGGGAAGGCAGGAATGAAGGAAGGACTAGATGAAAGGAAGGAAAAAAGTAAGGAAGGACAGATGAAGGAATGTAAGAAGAGAGGTGGAATGCCCTCCAGGTAGCCTCCAGGTAGGAAAGGAATAAAGGGAAAAATTAGGAAGGAAGGAATGAGGGACACACGACCATTTACCTAGGATAACTACATAACACAACTGCCTGCTAATACTTTGAAGAAAACTGCTCAGACGAGGTATTTTGTCTTTGCACATAAAAAAAACTTCCACAAAAATGCACACACACTGATTTTATGTGTGAGGGGGTGTAAAACACCATTGTGTATGACACCATGTTTTATGTGTGAGGAGTCTAAAACACCACTGTGTATGACACCATGTTTCAAAGAGTTCCACAAGCTGCAGAACTTCTAGGAATATGTTCAGTGACTGTATATTGGTATATATATTATAGAACAATAGTAATAAACAATTTTTTGTATTGTTTGTTTTTGTAAACAAGTTTTGTAAACAATATATTGATAATTATGCTTGTGTGCTTATTGTGTTGTATACAACGAGTGTATATATGTACATTGCACCTTACTTTGGTCTCACAGGCCACGTAAGTTATGTGAAAAAATAAAATAGTGAAAAAAACAACAAACCTTCAAATACAAGTAAACTAAAGTTTACCGGGTGAGCGGCAGTCGCCGCTGTTGCCATACGAGGCTCATTTTCTGCATACTTCATGCCTCTATATCTGGGTAAGTACTGATGTCAAAAAAAAATTTTCGTGACTAAAACAATCAGAAAAATAATCTTAACATTTTCATAAGAAAAAATAATTTTTTTTTTTTTTTTTTTGAATATTTTGCGACACCAGGAGACACTTCAGGATTGGGCCTTTCGACAGTCAAAGGGTTAAAAAACAAAAAAGGGAAGTAACCCAGGATAAGGACCCAGTACCTAAAGTCTTTATGGAAGGGAATTTCTCTTCCAAACAATAGTAACTTCTCCCTCTCCCCTCCTCCTGTCTTCCATACACCAACAAAAATCTTCAATAAAAGTAAGTGTGATGTTATTATTGCTTTACTATATTGATTTGTCATTCTTTTTGTATGTAAATCGATATTTAATCTCTAAAAAAATTATTTTTATTAATACTTTTGGGTGGCTGGAATGGTTTAGTTGGATTTACATTATTTCTTATAGGGAGAGTGGTTTTGGTTTTCAGCAGACTCTCTGGAACGGATTAATCACGAAAACCAAGGGTCCACTGTATTCTGCTGACTGAATACAAGATACCACCCATTTACCTACTTCAACTACCCAATAAAGTGGTCAGGAATCGGTAATTTGGCCAGTTTCACGCAAATTTCAAGAGATGTCAATTTCAAAATAGGGTCCAGAATAAACAATTCTGACATTCCTAGAACTAAAATAACATTTTCTCTGTTAATTAGTCACGTCTCCAGGCCCTTTTTATATTACGCTTGCTTTCCATTTTGACTATTTATTCTCACAAGAAATAGAAGATTTACTGTTATGCAGACTACTGCATTATTGTAATAATTGTATAAAGAATTTCAACCCATTAGTGACTGTGTATTAGATCAACCAATTGGACACGTATTGGATGGTGACATCACTTGTTTACTCTTGAACATCGGCAAAAATCTAACGTTTCCACTATGAGCTTAATTTTAAGGTAATTTCCAGTATGAAACCAATCAAAATTATATCTATTTCTGTAACATCTTCCATTCTATCCAATGAGATAAAAATGAGAATACAACCATACAAACCATACGAAAATACACCGCAAATGTCGCTGTTTTATATCAAAAGCACAGTCACCATTTTTTCTCATGCACTGCATGCTGCAGGATTTTTTATATATTGCACACTTACCACAAGTAGCACCACCAAACAGTAGTGGCTGGTTGGTGAGGCAACCCTGGAAATTTGAAATTATGCTAGCTGAAATTAGTACCAGATTTCTGATGGAACCGGATTACTGATCACCAGATTAGTGATGGCCAACCTGTACCATAGATAGATAAATCAGTGATTTTAATGATGGCATTATTGAAGTTTTTACTAGTATATGCTGGTGATATGATTTTATTATTCATTTTATTTTCAGAACTATGTATGGATTTCCCAGACGAATTCCGCCCCAATCAGTTAGTGACATTTGACGACATTATACCATGCTCAGCCAGAGAAAACAGAGCTTCAGTAAATTTTGTAAAAGACCGTCTCCGTGAGCTTCTTGACTTTTATGGAGATCAGGAAAAGGATCAAGAAAGACTGGATACTACAGCTAAGGAAAAAGTTAGAAGACAACTAATTGAAAAGAGTAACCCTTTAATGTGATTTATGTAATATAGAAATTAACATGCATTCATTATATAAAAAAAATGTAAACTGTCAAATAAATATATATATACAATACATGCTACTCTATTAACTCTTTGAGGGTCAACAGGCCTTCTCCCAGACTTGTTCTCAGGGTCAAAAAATATTTGAAAAAAAAAAAAATTCTTATGAAAAAATACTTTTTTTTTTCTAAATTTTATAGGCTAAGAAAAAAATTTTTGCCATCAATACTTACCGAGATATGGAGGTGTGAAGTTGAGAGACATTGAACTGCATATGACAACATCACTGACTGCCGATCACCTGGTAATCATTTTTTTTTTTCTCTTTTTCTATTATTTTTTAATATTTTTTCTTTTTCAAGTAACTTTTATGGCCTGTGAGACCAATATGAGCACTATTTTGTATATACAGGTCTCCCTCAACATTTGCGAGGGTTAGGAGATCAAGAGCCTCACGAATGTTGAAAAATCGCGAATGTTTGGTGCCCCAATATATTGTAGGGAACTATAATACAATACTGCTTCCTTAACTTGTTGAACCATGAACAATCATAAAATACATGAAAATGTCATAAATTGTACTAAATACATACATGTTATGGTTTAATAACATGTATGTTATTAAATACCACTGCCTCCACCAATGCCTCCACCACTTCCTCAACCACTGTGAGTCCCTACTACCCTCCCTCTGACCCCCGCAACTGGCAGCCAGCCCTCCCACCACTGTGTGGTGAGTGTTTTGTTTGTTCATTATTTGCTGTTAAACTACAGTATAAATAATGTAAACCCATTCATGACTGCATATTGGAATGGCTATTTGGACAGGTATTGGATGGTGACATCATGTGTTTACTCTTGAACACAGCAAAGAATCAAACATTTCTGCTACTGCTAATAATAACAATAGTAATAATAATAATAATAATAAATACGATAGAATTGAAGAAGGAAATTGTACAGAAATACGAGGGAGTGGTTGACACATCATCAGTGTGGCTTTGTTTATGCTGGAGTGAGCACTAGTCTCGGTGCTCTTCCAAACATTTCACAATAATTCATTGTGTTTGGTGCTTGTAGATTGAGTGCAACTGGAGTGGTTGAGGAAACAGTTGAGGCAGTGGGTGAGGCAGCGGTTGAGGCAATGGTAGACGCAATGGTAGAGGCAATGGTAGAGGTAGTGGTTGAGGCAGTGGGTGAGGCAGTGGGTGAGGCAGCGGTTGAGGCAGCGGTTGAGGCAGCGGTTGAGGCAATGGTAGAGGCAGGAATTGAGGCAGTGGTATTTAATAACATATGTTATAAATAATAATAGTACATGTTATTATTAATAACATGTATTATTTTTATTATTATTTTTATTATTAACATGTATGTTATTAAATACCACTGCCTCAACCACTGCCTCAACCGCTGCCTCAACCGCTGCCTCAACCGCTGCCTCAACCACTGCCTCAACCGCTGCCTCACCCACTGCCTCAACCACTGCCTCAACCGCTGCCTCAACTGCTGCCTCAACCGCTGCCTCTACCATTGCCTCAACTGCTGCCTCAACTGCTGCCTCAACTGCTGCCTCAACTGCTGCCTCAACCGCTGCCTCAACTGCTGCCTCAACTGCTGCCTCTACCACTCCAGTCGCACTCAATCTACAAGCACCAAACACGATGAATTATTGTGAAATGTTTGGAAGAGCACCGAGACTAATGCTCACTTCAGCATAAACAAAGCCACACTAATGATGTGTCAACCACTCCCTCGTATTTTTGTACAATTGCCTTCTTCAATTCTATTGGATTTATTATTATTATTATTATTATTATTATTATTATTATTATTATTATTATTATTATTATTATTATTATTATTACTATTATTACTCTTGTTATTATTAGCAGTAGCAGAAATGTTTGATTCTTTGCTGTGTTCAAGAGTAAACACATGATGTCACCTTCCAATACCTGTCCCAATAGCCATTCCAATATGCAGTCATGAATGGGTTGACATTATTTATACTGTAGTTTAATAGCAAATAATGAATGAACAAAACACTCACCACAGTGGTGGGAGGGCTGGCTGCCAGTTGTGGGGTCGGAGGGAGGGTAGTAGGGACTCGCAGGTGGCGGGAAACTTAAATATGATTTGGCGGCTGAAAATTTGGCGGTTGGGAATTCGTAAATGTGTGAAGCTCGCGAAAGTTGAAAACGCGAATGTTGAGGGAGACCTGTATTTACTCTTTCTATACTACACAATAAATGCACAAACACTGTTGTCATTATTTTGTTTACAAAACATGTTTACATAAACGAACAATATAAAATGTTGTTTATTACTATTTTTCTAAATTCTGCATACTCATATTCAGACACTGGACATGTTTCTATAAGTTCTGCAGCCTGTGGAACTCTTTGAAACACAGTGTCATGCACAATGGTGTTTTATACTCTTCACACATAAAACGAGTGTCTGCATTTTTGTGGGCATTTTTTTGTATGTGCACAGACAAAACACCTCTTCTGAGCCTTTTTCTTCTAAGCAGTAGCAGGCAGTTGTATTAGGAAGTGATCGCCAGGCCTCAGACGAGAGGGTAGTTGATGATCAGTTCGCAGGCGTTGTTCTGTTGCAGGTGTTGTTACTTGGTACTTGAATAATATTTGTCTAATGAAATAGAAACAACATTGACCATATGGTGGTTTGTTTCTGGTCTTCAACTTGTACACATTATAAGCATTCAGCATGGAAATATCCACAAGATGAAAAAAGAGTTTTATGTACCACTTATAACTCTTGCAAACACAATCAGCAAATCCAGTTTGCATATCACATTTGTCCACTGAGTGAATATTGAGGATGTAGTCCATCACAGCTGCAGGTTTTAGAATGGGTTCATTGGTCTCTCTATGCTGCCTGCCAGTGTCTGTCATTTCGTTTCGGTAAACTGATGACAACATTGTGACATCTTATTTGTCTTGCCACCGAAATGCCATGATGTCATTGGCAGCAAATGCCTGCACCTCACCTCTATGAGTGCCTGCCTCGAACCTGGGCATATGTTTACGATTTGCATGCACTGTACCAAGCACATCTGTCATATTCACTCACAAAAAATCACTGAGTGAGGGGCTTGCGTACCAGTTATCAGTATATAATATATATATACCCCTTAGAAAGATATGGTTCTATCATTTTTCTAACCACATCACCAGAGATACCCAATTACTTCCTGATATCTTGCAATGTATTACTTCCAGTGTACACAATAATATCCAATACAAGACCACTGATTTTATCTTAACCCTTTCAGGGCCCAAGGCCAAAATCTTAACCCTTTCAGGGTCCGTCCCGTAGATCTACGGCTTTACGGTGAGTGTCCAAACCGTAGATCTACGCCATGAGCTCAGCTCACTCTGATAAACTGTGAGTGGTACATTTGGGCCTAGATATGAGAGAATACATCTATGTGGTATGTGTGCACCACATAAAACAGATCCTGCAGCACACTGTGTATAATGAGAGAAAAAAACTGAAATCATGATTTTTCGATTAAAACAGCAACTTTGCAGTGTTTTTTCGTATGTTTTTTATAGTTGTATTTGCGATTTCTTGGTCTCATTTGATAGAATGGAAGACATATTACAGAAATAGAGATGATTTTGATTGGTTTTAGCACTGGAAATGGCTTGAAACTGAGCTCAAAGTAGCGGAAATGTTAAATTTTTGCCGATATTCAAGAGTAAACAAACGACCTCACACATCTAATACACGTCAGCTGGTGGGTCTAATATACATTCACAAATATGGTGATGATATTTATACAATTATTACAGTATTGCATAACAGTAAATCTTCTATTTTTTGGTGTGAATAAAAATTCATTATGTGAATAAAAAATCAAAATGGAATTTATTTGTAAAGCCTCAAAACATAACTAATGAACAGAGGAAATGTTAGTTTAGTGCCAGGAATGCCTACATTGTTTATTCTGGACCCTATTTTGAAATTGGAATATTTTGAACTTTGTGTTAAATTGGCCAAATTAACAATTTCCGATCACTTTATTTTGTAGTTGAAACAGTTGACTTGGCGATTTCTTGTGCTCAATCGATAGAATAGAAGTAATACTAGTGAAATAGCTAAGAATTTGGTTGATTGGAATAATGTAATTGGCCTAAAATGGGAGTCAAAGTCGGCAAAATCGCCGATTCGTAAATATCGCTGACACATCAAAATTCGCGAGAGCATAATTTCGTCAATTTTCCACCAAATTTCGTACTTTTTGTTTTATTACCTTCACAAAAAGATTCTCTACGATTTCATAAGAAAAAATAACAAATTTTTTTTTGGAAAATTCTTGGACACTGGTGCGTGACTCCAGATTTGGGCCTTGGACCCTGAAAGGGTTAAAGTGTCCAAGAAATTTTGAAAACAAAAAAAATTATGTTTTCTTACAGAATTAAAGATAATATTTTTGTGAAGGTAACAAAACAAAAAAAAAATTCTGATCAGTACTTACCGAGATACAACGGCGGGAAGTTGATCCAAAATGACCGGGTGGCAGCAACATCAGTGACTAACGCAAAATCACTTTTTTTTATTTTACATTTTTTATACTTTTTTCTTTTTTCTAATTTTTTCTTTTTCTAGTAACATTTGTGGCCTGTGAGCCCAATATAATGTACTATATTGTATAAGTGTACACTAAATGTATTGAACACAATAACTGCACTAATTTGTTTATCATTATATTGCTTACAAAACTTGTTTACAAGTTTATTGAAAACAAAATGATGAAAATATTAGTGCGGTTATTGTGTTGAATACAACAGTACCATATACAGTGGATCCCCGACATTCGATGGCATCGACATTCGATAAATCCGACATTCGATGCATTTTAAGGCAAAAATTTCGCTTCGACATTCGATGGAAAACCCGACATTCGATACAATTTGAACGAGACATGTCCACATGTGGCCTGAACTGCCCCATGTGTGCCAGTGTTTACAAGCCAGCCAGTGTGGGTGCATCTAAGGATACATTCAATACATTCCACATTATCCATATTATCACTGTTTTTGG